GTTGTTTCGAATGGCTTAGTCTGTGCTGGGAGCCATCCGGTTTAATTCCTTTTTATAAACTTTGTAGCTGTTTGATGGATCACAGTGAGTTGCTGAGTCAGTTCAGTGGGCATTTAAGAGTGAACCACACTGCTGAGAGTACAGGGTCTTATGTAAACAGGAGAAGGGAAGGACAGCAGATTTTGTCTGCAGAAGGACATTAGTGAACCAGGTGAGTTTTCATAGTAAATGACACTGGTTTAATGGTTGCCAGAGCACTGACCTGTTTCTCTGGATTACTAGTCCAGTGACATTACTCTACCACCTCCCCCTTTCTGCTCCCTGTAATCCCTCCTTTATTGAATACTAATGTATGTTTGCAGTTTCCCAATCTGCAGAGAACTATTCAAATCTAGGGAGTTTTGAGAAATTACAACCAATGTATTCATGATCTATGCAACATCTTTAAGATGCTAGAATGCAGGACTTCAGATCCAAAAGAAATTGTTAGCCTTTAGACTCATTCGTTTTTCTATTATGTTTTCTAGAGTGACAGTAATTGCTTTAATTTTCTCCCTCTCTTTTGCTCTTTGATTTTCAACAATTCAATTTAGATTCAGATTTCTACAAATTTATCAGAACGTTTCTGGACTTGGGGTATATTAGCTTCAATTTACATTGGAGGAATTGAGACATGTCTCCCTGGAGCAAAGGAAATTGAGGGAAATTTATAGCTATATTCAAGATTTTGACAGGTTTAGATAAGATAGACAAAAAAAAACTTGGCCGCATTAATTAATTCAAGGAACAGACTTAATGTTTTGGGCAGAAGGACAGGGATGTAAGGAACAACTTTATGACACGAGTGATGAAGAACTAGAACTTGTTGCCTAAGTGGGTGGTGGATGTGGAAACAATTAATGATTTCAAGGGGAAATTAGATAGGTTCTTAAAGGAAATAAACTTGCAAAGATAGAGCAGGGAAATGGAGCTGATGGGATTGATCTAAAGTCAGCAGGACAGAGTCTCGCTGTGCCTTATGACTTTGAGCCTACGACTTGGATTTCTAAATAGGTGGATGTGGAATGGCAGGATTTCAAATATTTACTGTCCAAAAAGTAATGGTCCAGATGCAGTGCTAAATTTGTACTGTATTTGGCTTCTGATATGGGCAGGCAGTTACGGCATATAACCTTACCAAACATCTGCTTTCCTTCCATAACCTTCACCACTGATAACCTCGGGGCTCATCCAATATGGTGTCCCAGTTACTGAGCGGATTCCAGTTCCTGACATGCATATTGTCTGCAGACGTTTGCTTGCTCCAAAGTCGCCCAGCTTCACGTTCCCTGCAGAGTCTCGCAAAATGTTCGCTCCTGAAACAAGATTGAACAGATCTGTAGTACTGTAGAATACCACACTCAGATAGAAAACTCTACAAAGACTCAAGATAAACAGAGCAACACGATGACAGGCATGGCTATAAAGCGGAGTAATGTAGGCTGGCTCTCTCATCAATCCCTTCTCTCAGCTGTGATATTCAGAGAGAGATTTCAAACCAAGGGAAGTCATCTTTTTCTGGAGGGGAAAAGGAAAGCTAGGGAAGTCACCATAGATGATATTACTGACCTGGGTCTGTCAGTTTGATGTTGAGATAGGGCATATCAAAATTATCCTGTATAATAATAACTACCCTGATCAAATGATCACTTGCTGTACTTGAAAGGGTCTATGCTGCCATTTGGACCTGAAAGGTGTTCAAGTCTTCTGCAGAATACTGTGGAAGGAAAGATAGAGCCACATCTCATATTGTTATTTTGCAGAAAACACAAGTTGTATTTTCCACTTTCAGGATGCTACAGACTGGCCAAAAAGTCATTCTACTTATACCACATTACTTATTGTGTCACAAGTTTCAGTACGCAGCCACTCCAAGGTTCTGCGCGTGGTATTAGGTAACATCGCAGCAATCCCAGCATAGATATGGATTCTCTTAGGACTGTGCAGCCAAACAAAAGAGGAAATGCTAGCTGTACATCTCAACAACATGGCTACTCAAATGTCTGCAGCACAGCAACTGTGTTCAAACACGCCTTGCCCAAGTAACAGGAAGGAATAAACAGCTCAAAGTGTAAAGACAATACAGAAGTAATAGATGGGAGCCTGGAGCTGCATTCAAACTATTGACAGGAATCAGAAACAAAAATTACTGGAGAAACTTAGCAGTATTCTGAGGAAGGGTCACTGGACCCAAAATGTTGATTCTGCTTTAACTTCACAGATGCTGCCAGGATGGCTGGTTTCTCCAACAATTTGTTTTTGCTTCAGATTTTCAGCATCCACAGTTCTTTGTATCATTCCTATCAACATAACAAAAATCAGTGTGTTTGGGTATACAGTGTTGGCAGAGAACAGGAAACATAAGCTTTGTTTGCAGCCAGAGAACAGGGAGATATGAAATTGTTCAAGTGTAAACTCTATGGCACTGTAACTGTATGAATTCTACTTGTAGACAGCATGGAGTCAGTTTGGAACCATTTATTTACTGATATCAGGATTCAGAGAGCTAGTCCGGAGAAGGGGGAGACCCAGGAGCTATTTAAAAGCCAGAGAATCAAGCCTGTCCGAGGACAACTCTCAGAGGGCCCGGTTTTGTAAACTCTGCCTCCTGCCGAAATACCACTGACTTCAATTTAACAATTGGGAAATTTTGGAGATTTTATTTCAATACAAATATATTCTTTAGATAGTCAGCGGTTCACATATAAAACACAGTAAAGGAAACGAACGGTGCCCCCAACATGGACCTTCACAGCAACACTTCAAATGAATGGGTTTGTTGTGCTAGCTGTGATTAACAATGAATACAGGGTGTTAGCAGTGACACTGCACTTCATGGCCTTAAATTTAACAGTCAACAACACTGCTACACAACCCCTACTTCCTCCATGCTACTAAGTCAAGAGGTCAGGAGTTCTCTGTGCACATATCTTACAAACTGTCAGTGTTGAGAGTTAGGAGTTTTGTTTCATTAGTCAAGACTTCCAAGTCAGGAAATGGACAATATCTCAGGAATTAACCTTGCTGTTACACTTTGCCTGCTTCCCAAAGCCTTTCTGCAAAGTGTCTGGGGCCAGTGCTAGACATAATTTAGAGCGAATTCAATATACTCAACATAAATAGTTTCTCCCTTCTAGGTCCACTGCCAAATTTACTACACCTGGATCCTGTACCCTCAAAAGGTCAGTCTGATCCTAAATCACATGCCAACAATTTATTCTTTTTTGATTTCAGACTAAATCCTTTTCCTCCCTCCTTTCATTCTTAACTTTCCAAATCCTCTTGTTGAATACACAAGAAAAGCAAGGAAGAATGAACCATTTTCTAGTAGTCCAGCAATACCTTAGCACTTGGCAACACCAGTGTTACTTTTAAATGAAAGAATATTTGTAAAGATTGGTTTCCTCCTCAAGAAACTTGCTGAGTGTGCTTCAAACTCCCCTAAGACAATGAAGAGTCCATAGCTCCCACGACTTTAACAGTCTTCGTGCTCTGCATCTCCTCTATGCCACCATCTGGTTGGGATGATTGGCACATTCTCAGTGCTCAGCATCCTCCTCTGACTGGGACAGTTTTGGTCTTCTCTGACACTCTCCCCACCAAGTCAGATGCTCAGCACTTGCTCATCTCTCCACAACCTTCTGCAGACAAGATGGGCTAAGACTCAGTAAATGGTTACAGATGTTGCCTTGTGATTCACAATTGATTCACCAGGACCATCTGGTTGACGTGACTGTTGTATATTGGTTCAGGCTAACGTACACTCTAGCTCACCAAATTGAGCAGTTCAGCATTACAGATAATAAATCCAATTAACAGCACTGCAGAAGCATTTTAGTGCACTGTCTTACCAAGACATCTCCACTATCACAGCATTCAAAACCCCAAACTTTCCAGATCATATTCATATCCTTCTTTCCAATTCCGGTTATACTACTGGCTGTTTAACCTGCCCTATCCCGATCTCAAAGAGATCGGGACATTGAACAAACGTTGGCTGCACTGATTGTCGCTTAAACCATTCATTTCTCTCCTGTATGTGCTGACACCATATGAGCCAAGGTTCCTCCGGTATTTCTGAAGCCTGTGATTGCTACCCAAGGGCCAATTGTTCAAAACAACAAGTGGTGGAGAACATTGAACATGGGCCATGGCAAGGGTGTGCTGAGGAGGACAATTTCCAATGTAAGTAGTATTATCTTCCACTGACACCTTTTCGAAGTGGTAGGCATTATATAGATACCAGAAACATAAAACCTCATCAAAATAACTCTCTGTAGTGCAAAAACACTTATATTATACCAAGTACACCTGTTACTGTCAATCTGAGGTCAACAAACTTGGTAGACTCAAGGGACCTACTAACCTATATTATTCAGTACTATCCCAGGTGCTGTTCTCACCGTAAGCATCAAAACCGTGTTATCATACATTTTAATTATAACCTGCAAGCTGTTCAGATTCCAAGAAATTCTCTTCTAGAAATCAAGCTCGCCAAATAACCTGCGTCACAGTACAACACAAAGCTAAGCAGTGAGACACATCCAAATGATTAAACATTTCCTGACTGGCTCCCAGTCAGGTTGCAAGGGGAAGGGAGACAGAAAGTTACAGCACTTAATATAAACCTTAAATCACCATTCATTGTTGTGAGCTATTCAGTTCCCTTCAATTAAACCAGTCCTTCACAACTGGATTTTGTCAAACCCAATTTGCAACAATGGGATTTTGCAGAATTTTCTTAAGGTTGTCTCACCTTTAGAATCCTTCAGAGTGTCAAAGGGATAGGTGGACTAAATTGAGTGGACCACTTACTGTAACAGAAAAGTACTATGCTTCTCACACAACATAATCCAAATAATTCTGCCATCTAGCATCAATAACTAAAGTCAGAGGGATGACTTTATTAAAGATTGCTGCAGAACTGTACTTGTGTTAGTAACTTTGCCTCAGTCCGTGGCAGGTAAGGTCCATCTTCAAGTCAATTGTTGCCTCAATAGTATCAGATATGTCAAACTAACCTGATACTTACTGACTACTTACTTCACACTACAGAGATTGGACAGCTATACAGATATACTTATGGAGGATCCAAACAAGGTGAAGAGAAATGTTTAAACTAATGGAAATAGAGAAAAATGGGTAGCTGTGATGGTGGGTCACTGTACTTGCGTTGCATGAGGTTCTCAGCATCATAGAGATGACAGAGATGGAAGAAATTCACAGAAGGACCGCAGCAAAAAAATCTGAGTGTTAAATACTGAGGATACTTAGTAATGTAACAAGTTTGCTTGTGATAGCTATTAGCATATTTGTCCCATCATCAGATTACACCCATTAACAAGGACCAACTACTCCCAGAAAGGAGAAATTAGGAAAACAAGTGCTGAGCAAGAACTGAAATCAAATAGTTTAATATCTTAAATGTAATAAATAGTAAGGGACACAAATATTTCCATGCTCTGCACTAGTGTAACGTGTAGCACTCTATTTCACTACAACAGGCTGAAAACTTGACTTCAGTTTACCAGAAATAGAAATACAAATCTGATGTCAGCATAAAAGAATCCCCAGAGATGCTTACCTTTTATATCTCGATGTACAATCATATTACTGTGCAAATAGGACACGCCTTCCAGAATCTGCCTTGTGTATTTTCGGGTCACATTTTCTGTTAGCGCACCATATGCTTTCAGTTGGTCCTTCACCGAACCCTAGAAAGAATAGGAATGTGGTCAGTGAAACAGGATTATGGATTTTTGAATTTGACAGGATCATTCCAAACTGACTATTAGACAAAGTAAAGGCAAGGAATGGCAGCTCCAGATCATAGCTAAATCCTGCAGGATATCTAACAGCTCTGTGCATATTCAGGCTTTAAGTTAAAACTTCCTAGCTTCATTTCACACTTGCAGTCAACAGAAAGAAGAAACCTCCCCTACATCAGTCCTGGCTGGATTCAAACCCAGATCTCCGGTACAGAGAGATTGTCTAATGAGCGAAGGTTAAACAAACTGGGACTCAAAAACAAGCAAAAACTGTGCATACTGGAACTCGGAAAACAAAACCAGAAATTTCTGGAGAAACTCAGCATAATTGTAGAGGGAAAGCAGAGCAAGTGTTTTGGGTCCAATTTAGAAACGTTATCTCTACTTTGCCTCCACAGATGCTGCCATATCTGCTCAGTTTCTGCAGCAATTTCTGGTTTTTGTTTGGGGCTCTCGTCATTGGAATTTAGCAGAATGCGAAGTGAAGTATGGAAACATACAGGCATCTTAAGAGGCTTGGCAGGGTAAATGCTGATGCGATGTTTCCACTCATGGTAGAGTCAAGGATCACAGGAGCATAGTGTCAGAATTAAGGCGTCCCAATTTAAGAGTGAGATGAGGAGAAATATTTTCACTCAGAGGGTTGAGTCCCTTTAGAACTCCTTGCCTCAAAGAGCTGTGGCGGCAGAGTACCTACATATACTTAAGGCAGAGATAGATTCTTGATCAGTATGGGAAATCACTGGTTTATGGAGAAAGCACAGGAAAGTGGACGTGACGAGTGTCAGATTAGCCATGATCCTATTGAATGGTGGAGTGGGCTCAAGGGGCCTAATAGTCTACTCCTGTTCCTATTTCTTATGATATTAGAAGGACAACATGCTGACATTTTTCATCCATTCCCCAAGAATAAAACATCTCTCCGAGAATGACACAGGTATGAAGGTAAATAATCAATTAGGTCAGTTCTACTGCAGATGTACAGTTGAAAAGATGCATGTAGATCCTATGTGGACTAGCTGACGAGTGTATTCGCAGACATCGTTAACCTCTCCTTACTATGATCTGAAGTCCCCAACTGCTTCAAGAAGACCACCAACATCCTGGTGCAAAGAAAAATCAGGCAGTGTGCCTCAATGACTACAGCCCGATGGGTCTGACTTCCATAATTGTGAAGTGCTTCAAGGGGTAGTCGTGGCTCACATCAACTCCAGCCTACCAAACTGTTTGATCCTTTGCAATTTGTCTACTGGTGCAACAGGTCCACAGCAGACACCATCTCCCTAACCCTACACTCATCCCTGGAACATCTGGATAACAAGGATACCAACGTCAAGCTCCTACTTATTGACTACATTTCCACCCGCAGCACCATAATTCCAAACAATCTCATCTCTAAACTCTGAGACCTAGATCTCAGCTCTCTCCTCTGTAACTGGATACTTGACTTCCTGACCCACAGACTATAGTCAGTAATAGGCGACAACGCTTCCTCCACCATAATCCTCAACATCGATGCCCTGCAAGGCTGTGTACACAGCCCCCTACTATACTCCTCATACACTCACAACTGGGTGGTCAAACTCCCCCACAACTCCATTTACAAGTTTGTTGACAACACCACCATTGTAGGTTGGATCTCAAATGGGACAGAATACAGAAAAGAGATTTGTTGCTTAGCAGCATGGTGTAAAGACAACAATCTCACCATTAATGGCAGCAAAACGAAGGAGCCAGTCATTAACTTCAGGAAGCAGTGTGGCAGGCACACCCCTTTCTGTATCAATGATGCTGAGATGGAGGCAGTCGAGGGCATCAAGTTCCTGGGAGTGATTACCACCAACAATCTATCCTGGTCAACCCATGTCGATGCGATGGTGAAGAAAGCACAACGTCTCTACTTCCTCCGGAGGCTCAGGAAATTTGGCACGTCCACAAGGACTCTTACCAATTTTTAAAACGCACCACTTAAAGCATTCTATTTGGACGCATTACAGTGGTATAGCAACTGCTCCTCCCAAGACTGCAAGAAACTACAGAGAGTCATGAACACAGCCCAGCCCATCATGCAAACCAGCCTTCCATCCATTGACTCCACCTATACTTCCTGCTGCTTCAGGAAAGCAACCAACATCATCAAAGACCTCTCCTACCCGGGTATACTCTCTTCCATTGGGCAGAAGATATAAAAGGTTGAATACACGTACAAACAGATTCAAGAACAGCTTCTTCCCTGTTATCATTCTTTTGAATGGACCTCTCAAATGTTAATTCTGATTTCTCTGCGCCTTCTCTGCAGCTGTAACACTGGATTCTGCACTCTGTTCTGCTACCCTGGTGCACTTTGGATGGTACAATCTGCCTGTATAACACACAAAACACCATTTTTCACTGTATCTCGGTACATGAGACAGCAATAAATCAAAGCAATCAAAAACAATAATAAAAATATTAACAAATCTACTAATGCAAGGATATGACTATTTTAAGTTTTTATGGACCATTATAATACATGTTATGCATCCACATGTCATGCCTGCTAATAACTTTGTGTATACAGGATTACTACAATTATTAGTCATATAAGTACGCAGGCACGTTTAAACTGTGTAATATCTCAGTAAAACACTCTTCCTGTCAGCTGAATCCACTCACTATAAGATTGTAAGCCGTATCCTGTCACATGGTATGCAATTATATGTCAACACTTGGTCATTGTAATGGCACCAGCAGTGGAACATAAAGCTCTTCAGTACAAAGCGAACACTCCAATTAGGATTGGAAAAAACACAATTTTTCAAAAGTAAACAATGATTTTCAGAATATTTAAAGAACACTCAGGGGCTTAAAAGACCAGACAAACCGATTGAGCTTCCATCTCCAATAGCTAAGTCACATGGCCTCATTAGGCACTCCCAGTCATCATTTACTCTCTGCAGGTAAATGTTCCCAGTCACCAATACAGTGACATAACGAGGTGCTATTATATTTTTAGAAGTTTGCAAATTGCTAGTTTTCTTTTATACAGACCAATCAGTGCAAAAGCTAATAAAATTCACTCCCCTTTATTTTAGATGAGATTGCCCCAGCCTCCTTCACAGCAAAACCAGGAAGGATAATTAAGTAGCTCCTTGGGACTGCTTATGTAAACTTACTTGCAGGATCAAACAGAAATTAGCAAGCCATTATTTTTAAAAAATCATAGTAGATAAAACAAAGTAGAATGTGATGTTATCAGTATTTGACTCTACTACCAGACAGCAAATAAACTTCAAAGCTAACCCAGAAATTATAACCTCATGTAGTATCTTAGCGAGTTTAAGCAACCATTTACTCCACATCTAAACAAATTTTAAAAATTGAACTTCTTTGAAAGGCACAGCAATTGCATTGCACTTGAAAACAACTAACAGTACAATGATTCAGACAATGTATTCCACCTCCACCACCTTGACATTTCCAGGCAAAGAACACAGAATTGCCACCTGTCCACTTGTTGACTGCACTGTCTGGATTTGATTGATGTGCCAATACAGTTTTGAAACATTAGATGCCAAAAATTCAAGAATTTTAGGTTACTGGTGCTATACAAGTACAAGTTGTTTCAGCAAAAATTGAAACAGTCTACAATTTTACCTTCACCTGCTCTCTGTCAATATCAGACTTGAACAAAATTGGAAAAGGAGGAGGATGGCCATTTGTGGGAGTTGCTTCACAAGTTGTGTACCTATTACTTTAATGTTGCAGGGCTAGTCCATCTGCAAAGTGCAGTGGGATTGATTAACATATTGTACACAATTTAAACCAAAGTCCTCTTAAGAAATCGGTACAGTAAACTATATTACCACTACTAGTTATTATTTGCTTGGCTAGCATCTTAGAAAGGCAAAGAACCTTTATTAGATCAATGCACTAATAACTTTAAAACACCAATTACAAAAAGTCACAGGTGGCATAAACAGCAACACCCATTTACTCTACTGACAATGGCTCAAGGCCACGCTTTAAGAGTGCTTTTCATTTTCTTAATGTAACAAAAATTACTATGCACTAAAACTCACTACAGATGGGTTTAAGTCATGACTTCAGCAATACAAGAGATGTGACCTGCTGGCTAAAATGTATTTTAAAACAAGTCAGCAGTATAACAAAATTGTAGGATGCAGATCAGCAAAGTTAGATTAAATGAAAAACTACTAATCTCTTCAAGTCCATTTTTTCCTCTGGTTCTGTTACCCAACTTGAGTGTCAAAATCCATACTTAATGCCAGGTTAACATTGCCACGAAATGTGTGTGCATTTATTCCAGGATCCAATGCACTGTCAATTAGAAGACAGTATCAGTTTCCACACTCTGCTGGTAAAGTACTCGGTGCTCCCTAATGCTGTCAAGTGCACAACACAGATCTCCTGACGCAAGCTAATTCTCAAAGCAGAACTCTGGTCAGGGTATGTACATGAATTACATACACCACCAGAAAAGATGCAGCTAACTCATGAAGTCAGTGTGCTAAGAGTGGTGGGCGTGGGTTTCAAGAATTGAAAGGAGCAGCCTGGGTGAGGAAGACCAACTAAACCAGGGGAACTAAAAAAATGATAGATTGGTAGAGAGCTACAACATTAGAAGACACATTTGGTAGAGTAATAAAAAGAATTTGGGAGACGGTAAAGGGGCATTAAGGAAGAGATGCAAATTAATATGAGAATTTTAAAGGTTGTAGATACTTTTATAAATGGAGTAGCTCTCCGTTCAATAAAATATGGTGAACTTTGAAGTTATTTACTCTTGAAGAAACCAAAACAGGAATCTTATTTCCAAACAGGGATTGACTGGGAAATATTTGCATTCAGCGGACTGAAGCATCATTGGACATGAATCACCAAATTAAAATGCAAATTACATTAGGACCTACAATTAGGAAAGAAAGCAGGGATTTGGCACAGAG